CATTGGTCACCCTGCTGGAGGGAGGGAGGCTGAAAGAGGCAAAATGCCCCTGTTGGTTCTCCTCAACATCTCAGCCGCCTTCAATACCATCAACCACGTTATCCTCCTGGGGAGGCTTTCTGAGTTTGGGATCAGTGGTCTGACTCTTGCCTGGCTCTGATTCTTCTTGGAGGACCGTGCTCAGAGAGTCCAGCTTGGGGAGAATGTATTGGCCTCATGACTCCTCAATTGTGGGGTCCCGCAGGGTTTAATCATCTCTCCAATGCTGTTTACTTTCTACATGAGGCAGCTGGGGGGGCATTATCCGGGGGTGTGGTGCCTCATGTCATACATCTCCTTTTTTCCATTAGCAATGGATGCCGTTATGTCCCTTGAGCACTGCCTGAGGGCTGTTCTGCAATGGATGCAGGAGAATGGACTGAGGCTGAACCTGGAGAAGACAGAGGTCCTGAGGGTGGGCACCCCTCTCATCAGCGGGTTGGGAAGCTCCCTCTCTTTTGGGAGAGCAACTCTCACCACAAATAGTGTGGTTCACAGCTTGGGGGTCCATCTTGACCCAGCGCTTACCATGGAATCCTAGGTAACGTCTGTGGTCTGCACCGCCCATTTACATCTTCGGCAGCTTGCCCAGCTGCACTCCTATCTTGATGTTGGGGCACACACCAAACTTGTCCATGCACTTGTAGCCTCAAGATTAGACTCGTGCAATGCACTCCATGTGGGACTTGAGATTGATGCAGAAATTTCAAATGGTCCAGAACATGGCAGCCAGATTACTAACTGGGGTGAAAAAAATATCATCATATTTTCCCCACTCTGGCCACCTTACACTGGTTACCCATTAGATTCCGCATCCATTTCAAGGTGCTAATGATTACACATAAAGCCCTAAATGATTTAGGACCGCGACACCTGTCTGCCTTCTTCCACCTAGTTCTACATGTGTCACTCATTCTATCCAGGCTGGGTGGCTGAGAGGCTTAACTATGAGAGAGGTCTGGAAGGAAAAACAAGAAACTGGGCCTTCTTGACAGTGGCCCCTCGCCTTTCAAACATCCTCCCCCCTGAGATCCACCTGGCTCCTTTGCTGGGAGTTTTTAAGAGCAAACTGAAGACCTGGCTCTTCAGGCAGGTCTTCTCTCCTGACATTACTCAAGTTTTTCCATCTTGAATTATGTTTGTTTTAGTCTTTTTATTGATTTTTTAAATTTTATTGCTTTTTTAGACTGTAAACCACCCAGAGTAGATTCATCTAGATGGGTGATATAAAAGTCAAATAAATAAAGAAATGTCAGGGATGTTTTTAACAAGTGGCAAGATGGGTAGAATAGTTGAAATTATGACAGGATATAGGCACCAAACTTCTCCCTTTCCCAGCACCAATACTTGTTTGCCCAAGAAGAATTAAGAAATGATCCTCCTCAGGGGGAGGCATCGAGATTTATGATCTGACTGCAGAACGAAGATAAATGGACTACTGTTAAACCACAGCAAGTAATAAGTATAAATCTATTATTGGTAACCTGATGAGAAGGAGGTCTCAAGCGGCATTAACTTGTTGATGCCTTGAAGACTGGAGTTTTCTCCACCTACACCACAGTGCAGAAACGAAACCAACTGCTTTTCTTCTTTCTCCCTTCTGAACCCTCCCCCTAGAGAAACTGGCTTCTTAGAACTCTAAATAACTCCACACAACTTAGCCTAAGTGACTCTGTATCGGGCACAAGGTGGTTAATCACCCCATTACAAGACTTTAAGTGTGGATTAGTCAATAAATCACTTGGGGAATTGGAGCAATTAACCTGTTGATGATTACAGCCATGGAAGGAGGGGGAGAATCACCATCGGAACTCATGACGTACTATCTTAAGGAACTTCTTCAAGAATTCCAACTGAACATCATTAACCATTTTAAGAGGCAAATTGACCAGATTAGAATAGATCTGGACATGACTCCTTCTGCTCAGC